TGGGGGAATTCGGTGCACTCTTTTTCCCTCATTAGAATTTTTTCCCACGGGGTTTTTTCTAATGGGTTTTTTACGAGGCATACCCCCAATATGAAACGAAAAGCGTCGGCCTTCGGCAACGTGATAACAGCGGGCACTACTCTACTCCTCTTCACCACATTACATGTGCCTCAAGGAGTGGGGGACTGGAGGACCCCTTCGGGAAAAATCACAAAAATGCAAATGTCAAAAATCTCCCCAAAACAGCAACATAATCCTTCAAATCCCAAAATGTGGGGGACTGAAGGACTGCCCCTGGCAGAATCGTGCGCAAACGCAAATCTCTCACAGATTTACAAGCTACAAGCAAAGCAACATCAGAGGACAACCGAAATTACTCCTTTTCCCTCAAGTACCTTTCGGCAAAAGGAGTGAAGGACTCCTGATGGAGTATATGGCCCAGGAACCCCCGACCCATAGACTCCCACTACTATAGCAGAGGCCTAATAGGCCCAGGAAGCACAGTAGGCCCAAATCACAGCGCCCCAAGTACCAAACAGCCCACGACGAACACTGGGGTGCCTTCGGCCCCCTGGCCGAAGTCTCATAAACTTACAGTACAGCTTCTTTAAAGCACTCAAAGTGTCTGGGAGAAAGCGGCGAAAACAGTATCCCTCGGCACCTAGAGCCCTCGGCGCCTAGAGGCCCCCGGGATGAAGAGCCTTCGGCTAATCATCTACGGCCGAAGGCTTCTCCTCGACAGAATCTCCCACCCACATGCGCTGGATCAACGTACTGAGTACAAACGTCACATCCAACCACCGCATTTAATGCAGCCACATACGAGTGCCAGTGCCACCCCGTTGAGGTGACCCCTCGACCGCCAGAATGATGACACGTGTCTCTATCTAGCATTTATTGTTATTATAAATAGAACCCCTTTTCCCCATTTGTAATGTCTAAATTGTAAACGTAGCTCTGTTTGGGGGAAAGACTGAACCAAGCTAGAGCTGGAAATATTGGGCTGAAAAGAAACGTTTCCAAACCTAACGTTTCTATTTAGTCGATAGCTCAATTGTCCCGAATGTCTAAATTGTCCTCATCCCGATTCATCCTTACTATTCAAAATTCATCACTTCGATTTCTCCATATTTCTTCCAATTTCGTAAAACATGAGTTCTAGCCAGATTAGAGAGGATCAATAGAAGAATCCATACCCTGTTGACGCTCCTGCTGGGAGTGATTGGGCTGTGGATGCAACTCCCGCTGAAGTCGATTGAAGATGGGAGTCTGCAGCCTCACTGGTGGATGTACTGCGTGTGGTGGCCGAACGCCCAAACCAGGACGAGCCAACGAGCAACGACTGCACCGGCCATATTGGTGAAAGAGCAGAGCAGTAGATGAAGACGATATAGTGCATACTTTCACAGGCCATATTGGTGACCTTTACACTGCCTGCCCCAATATAGATGAAAACAATTCGAGTAACAAAAAATACTTAATTTTTCATGATTGACATATTGTTGTAACATAAGTATAGAATTTTTACAGTATGCCTGCCCCATTATAATAAATATTTTTGAATAATAAATTTATGCCTTTAAATGTAATTTTGCATTTTCCAGTCACATTTTCAGCTCTTTTTACCAAACGAGTCTACTTCATTCATCTATCAATTCATATTCAACACTTCAAAGTTCAACTTCAGACAATAGTGTTCATTTAGACAATAGCCCCCTATTCAGAAATTAGGTTTCAATTCCAGCTGGTTGTGCCAAACATAGCCCAAATTGATCTTCAAATAAACTCAAGAATGAAGTTACTCCGTATGAGTTACTCAGACAAAAACCTCCCACACTAAAAATCACAATTACGAAGTACTCCCTCTGTCCCTGAAAATTGTTCCCTGTTTCCTTTTTGGGCTGCCCAGAAAATTGTTCCCCTTTCTATATTTGGAAAGATTTTACACCCTAAAAACCCATTATACCCTTTAAAACATTTACCCCCAACCTCGGTATACTACTTCCTTCCTATCCTACGACCTATCTCTCTCTCATCTTCCTCGTTACATCTTCCCCTCCACCGCATGTCACACCTTACACTTTTCCGGCCATTTACTCTCCTCTCCTTCCACAGTTCCACTCTTGAATTTGTTGAACTGTAATTCCTTCCCTGGTTTCAAATCCTGTCTAACCCTAGCTCTTCCACTTTCTAACCGTCTGTCCTAATTCAAAATCCATAAATCCGACAACCATTTCAGATCTACCTGCAACGACTGCATGCATGGACGATCTGATGGTTCCGGACAGTGAAGAGGGGTGGGAGATGATGACCAATGAGATGGAGGAAAAGCTGGCAAAAATATGGAAGGAGGTGCGGGAGTAGTACATTCGCCATCCTGTGCTAGAGGAGTTCTTAAAACTGATCCTACCTGGCTGGGAAACAAGGATGTGGGACGTTGATACCTCTTGCAGGGGAGTTTGTTTCTATTTCTCTTTCCCAATCTGTCATTCAATTGCATTTGTTCAATGTGTGGGCAATAAATGTTGTGGTAATGTTTGTCTGGGTTATGTAGTTGTGTTTGATTCTGGGGCAGCAATGATGATTTTAGGGTGTTCTTATGTACTGAAATGTCCTTCTAGTGATGCATATATGGTCTGACCATTGTTGTTATGTGGCTTGAATGAGTAAAGGTTATGTGAGGCTAGTATGGGTAATATGGGTGATGATTTTAGGGTGTTCTTATGTACTGAACTTCATTGGTACTCATGTTTGTGTGCCTAAATTGTCTGACTAAGGGATGTGATCACATTGTTATGATGTCAGTGTGATTACAGCCCTGCTATGATGACCTATTAGTCCACCCATTGCTTGGTTACTGTGATGACCTATTGGTCTGAGCATTGGTTGGTTGTTGTGATGAACTATTGTTGTATTAGCCTATTTTTTGTGTGGGCAACCTACCTTCTGTGGTCATTCTGTCCTTTGCATTATGTGGAAGCTTGTAGTTGTTCCCCCCTTGCACTTTCATTATCTCTATCATGACATATTGATAACTTAACCACACCTTGTTGAGAGTGGTGGGTGAAAGCTGGTAGAATGCTTCATGTACTGCCTTTAACAGTTCATCCACATTCTTAGGTGCTTGTTGGTCTTTCAAAGACTGAATAGCCCTAAAGAACCCAAGGTCAAGTATGTTAAGATAAGGAGAATTACTGGGCTGATAAGTTAGTGTAATATTAAACCCATCTGCTTTTGAAGTTGCGATAAACTCTGGGTCTGAATCTATATTGTGTGGCTTTGCATTGTCCTGTTGGATTATAATGTCCTTGCTTAACTGATCAGGCCATTTTTCCTTTATGCTAGGCAACACAGTCTTGATAAGCATGTCTTTAAACACAGGTTTTGTAATGCTAAGTATAGGTTTGGTTTCCATTACCCCTGCATCCCTATTATTGCTTTTCTTTTTTGCTGGCAGTTTCTTAATGAATGGGAAAATGCCAATTTTCCCATCCCAAATTACTTCACCATTGTCTGAAAAAAGGGGCCTCCCCACAACTCCTAGTGACATGACCTTGGTAATGAATCTCTTTGACTTGCATACCCTGTGTGGATCCAATTCATTTGGGCCCATGTAGTACCTTTGTGAAGTTTTAGACAAGAAAAACCATTTCTCATCATGTGTATGACATTATGGAAAGTCTTAAACACTGGTTTAGAGGCTATGGATTTGTCTATTTGGCTTGAACAGAAACTGAGTCTATGCATTTTATTTTCATCATTTAGCAAAGGCTTAATAGCATTTGTATGACTTCTAACCGCGCCTCTCTGAACCAATCTGTGAATAGCTGACTTTGAAATTGAACTGGCTCCAGCAAGTGCCCTTATGTTAGTCCTTTTGTGCAAAGGGATTTCTGATATGTTGATTACATCAAACAACACCCTTTTTCTGCCTGAATTCCTCAACCACTTGGTTTTTACATCTATAGTTTCCCCCTTCTCAATCTGCTCTTTAGCTTTGCTCCAGATCTTGGAAATACTTTTTCTTGTCACTGAATATTTAGTGGCTAGCTGAGTTAGAACACCTTTCTGAGTTGTGACCTCCCTAGAATCTTTTCTTGTTGCAGTGATTAGAATTTCATCAACTATACTTTGTCTATCAATGTTTTGAAGTCTTTTTGCTTTGATATTTGAGCTTTGGTCATTTGTTGGTGTGTGCAGGAGCTCATTTACTCCAGTTGATGCCTCTACATCAATAAATGCAGCTGGAGAAGATGCAGTGGGGGAGGAAGCCTCCACATCAATAAATGCAGGTGGAGAAGAACATGCTGTGGGGGAGGAATAGCTCTGCCCGCCACTGCTGTGTGCAGCCATGAATGCAACGTGTAGTGTGTGTTAGTGTGTTCTGGTTTGTTGTTTTCAGAATGTGTATTAATAGGTGGGTTGTTTAGATACTTTCCCAAAAAAGAGAGGGAAATGGGGGAATTTGTAGCATTTCATATCATGAAAGTGTAAAGCATTTCAGATCATGGGAAAGTCAGTGCGGAAACAATTTTTCGGGAAGGAGGGAGTGCAAAATTGGCTACAATTCCATCGGTTTAAAACAAAAACTGTTTCAAAGGTTTCCGCTTTGCACGACGCCTTCAACCGGAGACTACGTCCCCCTATTTCCGGCTATATCTAAACAGGTTTGTTTCGTTTATCTTTCTTATTTTCTAGTTTCGGCGGTCCTTTGTTCGCATGTAATTCAGAATTTCTTCAAGTTTCTGCGTATTGACTTGTGATGTTCAGTTTAAAATGTAGAATTTTCCATTCTATACCGCCTAATTGTTCAAAAAACTTTTATCATCACAAACCATTTCAGCAAAATCACCTAACAGTCCTTGCTATATCAGTATTCCTTATTTGTATTCCAATTTGCTAATTCTAATTAAAAATATAAGCAGTCTTATTTGCTAAAACAAGTAGTCCAATTTGTTAACAGAAGTATTAATCATGATTCATGAGGATAAGTTTATGCAAGTATGTAAGGTAATTTATAGCCTGACCGGCTGTGCATGTATATATACTAAATACCAACTAATTGATGAAGATTATCAGTGTAATGGCCAGTGTTTGTCGAAGAAAAACCACATCAGGTGCAAGAAATGACTTCATAAGTCAACTACCAGCAGAGCTGAAGGAATCAATTCTAGAATTGTTGAACATGCGTGAAGCTGCCAGAATGGCTCTTCTTTCAACTCACTGGAAGGATGTTTGGTTCGCTCACGGCCAGCTGGACTTTGACTTGAACTTCTCACATTTTCTTCAATTCGATGATGACGATGAACCCGTGGTGGATTGCGTTGAAATAATGAACCGGTGTGTCATGCTCCGGACGGGATCGGTTAAGAAATTTACACTGGCGCATTCAGAGTATGAGGAGTATTACATATCTGGAAGAATTCGTATGCCACTACCACCGGATATAGATCGTTGGTGTCTTTTTCTGTCGAGAAACGGCATTGAGAAACTTCACCTCTATTCATAATTTTAATGAAACATATAATCTTCAAGAGTGTATAGTCACTTGCCCTACAATTAAGCAAGTCCTACTTGGTGGATTCAGTTTTCACTTCCCTGTTAATTCACATTGTGTGTTTCCTGCCGTCACTTCATTGGTTTTTGAGTATGTTGTATTCGAGCCTGATCCCACTAGAACTGTCTATAGTGTTCCTAATCTTGAGAAGCTCTCTTTTGATAACTGTCCTGGGATTGATAATTTTGTGATTTGTGCACCAAAACTAAAGAGCTTGACTATTGACCGTAATTTTAGAAGTCTGACTGATTCAAGATGGTTTGTGCTCCATTTTGCTGTAATCAATACTCTTTACTTGCATGCAGATCTGTTGTCGGTAAGAATAAATCTTCTACTTATATACACTTTGTAATGCAGATGTGATAGTGAAATATTTTGTTTTGTTTTCTTATGTTTCTTCACTCTGGCTTTTTAAAGATATTCCAAGGTTAACTTGTGTTATTTTTTTCAAGGATACACCTGATGCTGTATCTGTAAGGACGTTCCCAAGTGCAACAAATCTGCAAGTGGTTGTGATTCATAGTGTCAATTTTGTTCGTGCGAAGCACTTCACCTTTATTACCGAATTGATTAAAAAATGTCCAAAGCTACATGAACTTGGAATTAAGACATGGCATTATGTAAGACCTATTAAATACCTGGTCATTTGGGGATTATGATTTTGTGTTTATTGTTTTCTCCAAATTTCTGACCAGTCAGCAAATGCTGTTTCCATTTCTCTTTTCCTTGTAGTATGGGCAAAGAGATGAGGAAGAAGATGCTTCCAGAATTTTGGAGTATCCCTACAGTTCTGTTCTTAGAAATGGACTGAAAATGCTTAAGACAGTGAAGATGAAAGTATTTCATGGATACAGACTGGAAGTGTTATTTGTTAAAACAATCCTTTTAAACTCACCTGCCCTTGAAGAACTTGTTATTACGAAAGCTTCCCACTTCAAGGCTTTGGAAACCCTAGAGGAAATTATGAGTTTCTCTCGTACATTCCCAGAAGCCCAAGTTGTCTTCAAGGAGGAAAAGTCCGAGTCCACAAGACAGCCTGCTGCATAGGTTCTTCCATGCATGTGTTGCATATTCTCCAATGCTTCTCTTCTTCTGCTAGAAGTTAAGAAAGTATTTTAGTGGTTTGTATCAACTTTACTAAGCACACTCCATTTTGCTCTAAAACGCCGTAATTCTGTGATCAAGTAATAAATTATTATTTGATCTTTGAATTTTACAAGTTTTTCATATATAAGGTCTCCAAAAAAAAAAAAAAACTGCTCCACTATAAAGGCCTCATTTGAAAATTAAGTGTTAGCTAGTTTGGTTAACGGTTTATGACATAATGGTTTATGAAATTTACTTTTTTAATTGTAACCTCGCATTCTTACGCTTAATATGCTAAACAATCAAGTCCTTGTAAATAATGGTTTGCTTGTTTCTAGTTCTTTGCATTGTGAGGCCATTAGTCCGTTGAAGATTCAAATTTGGGTGAGTTAAAAGGGAGTTGATTTTTCAATTTACTCAATCGTGAAGCCACACTTTATTCTATAAAAATATATAGAAAAACATTTAGATATGCAAACTTTTAATTAATGATGCTTTTACTTGGACGGTAATTTGCTGGTCTGGTCTGGTATATTTAAGTCTGGTCTGGTGTAGTGGTGTGGTTTGATCTCTGTGTAATTTATAACTACAGAAATCAAGTTTTGGTTGGTTTGTTTAAGTATGGTTTGATCTTTTTAAATCTGGTCTGATCTGGTCTAGTTTGGTCTGTTTAAGTTTGGTCTGGTCTGGGATTGAAAACAGTCCAAATAAAAACATCCTAACACCTCTTGTAACATTGAAATGAAGTCCATGTATAAAAAATATTTGATATTTAATTAAGCATCAAAAGCATTGTTCAGGTAAAACAAGTTCAGGTAATAGCCCAATAAAACATATGTTAAGAATATTATTTTGTCAAATGGATACTCGTCAACTTCCAATACTATAATTTCTTTTAGACTTCTCCCCACTATTATCCATCTTTTATTCTTTGTCATAACCCATTGTGAATCCGATCACATATTCACATCTTTCAAAATAATAGGAATGATTATTGGATCTAAATATCTAATCCAAAGCAATTTGAGTTGAACTTTTATAGACTGATAGTCATACTATGGTTATAAAGCATACCGATCAAAATTTCTTGCTATATCAATTTCCTTGGCTAAATTGAGCTAATCAGAAGAAATGAAAAATTGTTTTTATTTTCATCATCAACCTTTAGTTTTTTACTATCTTCGTCTGAGTTTGAAAATTTATTTTGTACTTGTGTGGAGCAGACCTAGAATCTCCGATGTTCGAAGTAAGGCTAAAGGCACCGATAGAATAAACTGATGTTTCTGAAAAAATATTCAAAAAATAGCATAGGAGAGCCTCGCGAACTGAGATATGAATTGTACATACCTACATTAAGAAAATGACCATTTATAATAAAATTTCATTAAATGAATACATATGGTTGAATATTTATATAGTATGGAGTACTTTATAATATGAAAATTTGTGTATTAATAAAGTAAATTTATCATTCAATTTAGAAGACACCAAAAAGCATAAAAGCAAAGTGTACTATCCAATATTAGAATACACTTATACACCCACAAGTCCGATGTATATAAATATTTACTAGCATTGGCACGCGCTTTGCGTGAGGGTCAATGCCCAATGGGGGGAAATGAGTCGCAAAAGTAGCACAAAATTAATCATCGAAAGGAAATTATTGTGAAAAAAGCTGTAGATATCTGGAAAAAGGAAAATTTTGCAAAGACGATGAGGCTTTATCCGGATAGCAAACATCGCTTTAAAATGGGCTATTGTCACATCGCTATCTTCGTCCATCTTAGAAAATGAAAAAAATGGACGAAGATAGCAAACATCGCTTTAAAAACTCATTGACAGAAAATGGATGGTCCTATAAGACATATCTGGGATGACTCCAGACAGATGTCCAGAAGACACATAATAAAAGAAAAAACTGCTCTCAACTTACAACGTTTCCAATCTCTTCAAAGAAGATAAATCTGGGATGACTCTATACAAATTATTGTTTCCAAGCCAGCTGATAAAAGTGACACAATTTCAGTAGTTATAGCATTAATGTGTTAAAATATGAGAAGTATGTTTTTCATCTACATGCCACTCAGTGCAGACAAGTTGGCAATGTTTGGCGCAATTGTTCCAGACAGGTCCATCCTTGTCAAGTTTCTGGAAAGAAGCATGCAAAGTACATTGATATCTTTTGGTTATTAGAATTGGATTGGGATCACTTAATCCATTAGCTAGCAACTTCAACACAAAATCTTTATAACTCATCAGTTTCTATTTAATTGTCAAATATGGAACTCTGACACATATGATGCATACAAAAGAAACCAGCAATTCCTGAATTGTTTTACTTTTCTTGATTTTTTAGGGTTTCAGAAGGGTTCAAGAGCCTTAGAATCATCAAAACTTACTTACAAAGCTATGACACGAATCCGGGATCCTCCAGAGCACACAACTCCAGTCCATGGGTAGTGAGGAGGGAGACATGGATCATCATTCCAATCCAGTGGAGGATTTTTGAAACTTCTCTTTACACGTTCCAAAGCAGCCACTAAATGAAAAAGGGTCAAATGATCAATACTATCCATGTTATCCAGCAAACCGACCCTATAATTAAAAACACCAGGAATGACACAAATGCATCATGCATGCAAAAAAATAAAACACATGCTAGGTTTAATTTATCAATTTGGGCAGTAGTTTTTGGCATTAATTTGGGCAGTAGTTTTTGGCATTAATTTATTATGGAATTAAGTAATGTTATAAAATATAATTTACACTTTAATTTCATGTCACGTGTTTCAACACATGCTAGGATCGTAAACGTTAACTTAACTCCATATTACAGATCATATACGGATACATTTTTGGACACCTCCCAAAAAAACTCATATTGAACCCCTCTTATTTTTTTCCAATTTTAGATTTCTATTACACCCGACAACGTATTTTAAGGAATTTATCGTGGTGATGATTATAGACTCATTCACAAGAACGGGATCAAAACTCATGAGATGATGAGAAGACCAAGCAAGAAATACCCAACATGTTTAAAAAAAGTTTATGTAGGTAATCAGTGATCATAAATCATAAATGAACTTATTTGAGAGAGACATTTCTTTTACTTTCAAGAATAAAAAGACACTCTTACAAGTTCTCAATATGAACTCTTAAAACATCTTACAATCTCTATAAAATTAGTTTCTAATCTACCAGGAGTAGTTCGAAGACTATCTTGACCTGTGTTGTTTGTTGAAAGTGAAGATATACAGGGCTAAACCTAATGTGATGATTTATGAGCAACAACCTTTGCAGGTAAAATTACTATCTACTTACCATCTCCAGTGTGTGTTTTTCCACCAACATGTAGCACTTAAAAAATCTCTCCTGCATTGATGACAGGGCCAACATTTGAACCAGGGGCAGGGTTCAGAGTTATATTTGTAATGCCAGAGAGAAGCCACTGGTTTGCGAAGACCACTACACCAGAAGGAGTGACATTAAGGTTAGGGTAATAAACTAAGCCATTCAAGCTTATGTTGAAAACTCTGTCTGAAATAGATCCTCAATCATTCGCAAAGTAAAGAGCAATGTGATATGTAGCATTCAGCAGCAGTATTGGAGGCCACAACAATTGCATCGGTTCGGGTTTTCTGTTTTCATAACGCCTCCCAAATACTCTCAGAGGGGGACGATTCCAGAAACCGGATATAGAAACACTGCTTATGTTTTGTGAAGGAGAGTGTTCTCCAAACGGCTCCCAGTAACGATCAAATTCATCATCAGGGTATCTGGCAAAATGAAACCAAACTGCCATATAGTCAAATAAAGTGGGCAATGATTCTGAGTTTATAACCAGTTGAAACTACTGCTAGAAAAGAAGCTCAAAACCTTGGATATGTCAACAATTTCCAACGTTACATACAATTTATTAAGATTTGAGGTTCCAAAAGAATAGCTCGACACTTCATATATTATAGATTGTACTACGTATTTGTATGCGTCAATACAGTACACTAACCCGGCTTTATATGTTAGATTATAGTTTTATACATTGTCGGTGTGAGACTTTATATGTTAAAAATTGTATTTTTTATATGCAACCGGTGTGGGATGACTTAATAGAATTAAAGTTGAGTTAGATTAAATAGATTGAGCTAGTGGGAAATGATTAAAGTACCTAATGGTTGACCCATTGTATCCAAAGGTTTGCCTTGCATGGAGATTAAGAGCATACTTGTTGAAATCAGTAGAATTGTATAAAGAGTCCCACACCAACAGCATTTCCAGGGCTGATATAAAAGGGTCGGATTCAGTATAGTTATTGTCTCCCAAACACACCTTCATAGTCTTATCCGCAGCTAAAAACATCCCTTCATAGTACTTTGGCCTTATCAACAGTCCATTTTGATTATTAATGGAACCCCCCTCTTCATCCTCCTTTGTAATATTCACAACACTCCACAGAGTACCATCCACAATCTGGTCAAACACTGGGGCCACCGGATGCCTGTTGACTCCGCCGTAGAAATACGCCGTACGAACCAGATATTTCCCTCCCCGAAAAACATGGACAGTGTAACAGAATTTCTTGAATATAAATGTTTTAAACTTTAAAGTGGTAGCATTAAACAAATCTCTTCCATAAATAAACAACGGAGGCTCAGACAAAGCTCACTAACGGACAAAATGAAACATCTGACACCGCCATGGCTGCAAACACACCAAACACGTGAGATATTCAGGTCTGGTTAGTGTGTTACCACGCCAAGATACGAGTCGGGTATCCCTAATGCCCATCAACTGGCTCAAGAAAATGAATTATCATCACAACCCCTTTATAAACAACACTCATGTCGCCAGCCCTGACATTGTTAACCTTAAGGACCTTAGGTTAACCTATTGGACCTCATATTCTTTCTATGCCTCAGAAGCATCATCGGCAGCAAGGGGAATATCAGATATAGCTACTGTACTCTTTGGGACAAATTCATCCGAGGTAAGCATCTGACAAAGAAGAAACCCATCTGCAAGCAGGTGTCAGATGAATTAAGAGAGAAGGTAGAGCGTCTGACCATGAAAGACGAAGCAACGGAAGAGCGATTCTGAGAAATGAAGCGGGGATAACATCCCTAGCTTATGAATCAGGAGAGAGGAGACATTTTGAATTTTAGATATATACCTGGTAGAAAGATTGAGCGGTGGGAAGCAGTTAAGGTTATGGAACGGAGGCAACAGACGGGGTCCATTACGATAGACTGTAGCAACGACAAAATGCCCAAGTTAACGTCCTTCCAGGCTTTATATATTAACCAGATATATATTAACCAGATATTTAGAAATATGATTACAGCATGCAACTAAAATTAAGAAAACATCTCACCTCTCTTATTTTTACGACTATCCCTCCATCTTTTTCCTGAGAAAGGATAGTATATGCACAAATATAAATATTTACATATACAATTTGATTTTCATGTTAAAGTCACCCTACATGTTTCCTGTTTTAACATAACAAAAACATAAAAAACATGTAACTACTCTGATTTTTTATAGTCATCCACTTTTTCCATTTTGAGAGAGCACAATATATCCACATCTTTAAACAATTCCACATAAAAAGAAAGCTATAAGTCTTCTCGTAGCCCGTGCCGTCTCGACTACCATCACCGTCTTATACCCATGTTGATTCACCAAAAACTAACCCTTCAACCTTCTCCTCAATTGCAAGAATGAGACAACACTGCTCTAGATCATCTATAGAACTCACGATTATCCTTTCTTGAAGCTTGGATTCATTTCCAAAAGCTGCAACCGCACTCACGCCTCCTTTAAGATTGACTCGCACAAACTGAGAAAAGATATCAGAAAACAAAGATGAAATTTTGTCACTGCTTCGAGAATCAACAATAAAAAATAAAAAAGCACTCTAAAAGCCTAGAGAAGAAGAGCCGCACAAACAATTGGCGGAAGAAAAATCCTACGCCACGTAGAGCCGCTAGGGGGAAACCCATTTCGATATATAAATTTTACACTTTAATAATAGTGGTTTTAACGATGAATATATTCACATTGTAAAAACTTTTGTATATTAATATATTATTAGTCAAAATTTAGCTTCATTGATTGAAAATGTCAAAGATAACTAATAAAAGAGGGACGAAGGCAGTATTTGGTTTTTATTTGTCATGTGGGGCATCAAAACTCCCAAAGATATATAGCCTCAGTTTGGTCATATATTCGTCCATTGCAAACTTATAAGCAATATTAGGGACATTTCTCTTTAAAATATTATTAATTATAGTATGATATTATACTGAAGTAATTTATAATCATGCTTTTATGAGTAAATTTTATTTCATACTATTTGATTCTTTTAAAAAGTTGAATTAATTTAACCGCTAAACTAAAGAAATCTTGAGAAGTAGACCTTAGGTCTATAAAATCAAGAGCTCATTTGATAACTACTACCTCCGTCCCACTAAGATTGAGACAAGATAAGGTGCCACGATTATTAAGAAATGTGAACTTGTGTGGTTGATATTAAATTAACAAAGTAAAAATAAAGTAAAAATGATTTAGAGTCAAACAAATTTTACCAAATTTAGTATAGGACAATCTTAGTGGGATTTCTCGAAAAGGTAAAATGAGACAATCTTAGTGGGACGGAGGGAAAATTATTTTTCTTGCTCATCAATCTCATTTTTTTATCGAACACATACTCTTTCCGCAGCTCAATAATTCTATAATAAAAATAAGTAACATTGAAATTACTTGTTCTTTTTTCATATAATTTTTGAAAATATTTCACTAATATTACTTTTGAAAAAGTGATGAACAAAAAAGTTACCTAGTGGAGTAACTATTAGTGACTAGTGTTCATAGTGACTACATGATAGTTACTCTCCGTTTTCTAATTCATGTCCCTCTTTTCATTTTGTGTTGTTCTCTAATGGTTGTCTCTTTTTCCATTTTTAGAAAATGTTTTCAATCAATATACCAATTTACCCTCACTCTCTTTCTTTCTTTTTCATTTTCTTTCTTAGTTTTTCATTTAAACACAACGCATTACACTTTTTACATTACTTCTATTATTTTTTTCTTAAAACTTGTGTCAAAGTGTCAAACCCTATAGAGACAACTATTGAACAACAAAGAAAGTACTATGTATTATAATTAAACTTTGAATACAATTGTATTAACTAATAATTACTAAATCACATTTTTGTCTACCTTATTTTATCGGTAAAATTACAGGAAAGCTGTCATTTAAGTTCAATGCCAAAAGGGATCTAAAATTTGTTTTGGACTTTCGTCCTTCCAAAGTCCAAACAATTCATCCAACCCTAACACCAAAAGTATTAAGCTTCCGGCGAGCATGCTACCGAGAATTAACTTCTAATTCCGATCGCTGGGAAGTTAATGTTTGACTGCATCTCTATTTTCTTCAAAACTAAGGTCCAAATTACATGAGGTTTAAGATCAGAAGCCCATTCCCTTTTCACCTCATTAAGGGTTCCTCTGGTTTCTTCTCTATGCAAGAAATGACTGCGCTATGCTGCTAAATCCGGAAATCGAGACTTACTGGTCGACTGGTTTAATTGTAGATCGGATACTCTGTTGAGTGTTGAAGGCTTTATTTACATACTGCCGAGCTGTTTCAAACTAATGGCTCGTCGTAGTCGTCGAAGCAAACCTGGGTCGGATCTAATAAGTCAACTACCGGAAGATTTGAAGCACAAAATATTGGAGCATTTGGACACTCGAAGCGCAGCGAAAACTGCTCTTGTCTCCAGGAAATGGAAGGATGTTTGGTTGCGGCATGGTCAGCTTGCCTTTGTTTCGGAAAATTGCCCAAATGGAGGCCGTGACGAGGATGATTTCAAGTTTTTAGTGAAAACGATAACTAACGTTCGCCTGCTCCGTACTGGGCCAGTTAAGCGATTCTCCTTCTCAATTTACAGCGAGTTCGATACTCCTGAACAATCTGATCTTGATGTTTGGTGTCTGTTTCTATCAAGAAATGGTATTGAGCAACTTTACCTAGGTATTCTTCCTCATCCAGACAGTGAGAAGCTCACAATACCGTCTTGCATAATTTCCTGCCCGACAATAAAGAGACTGTATGTTGAGGCTGTTGATTTTTGTGGCCCAGTTTGTGCTCCACATGGTAGTATATTATCTGGTGTGACCTCTATTATTTTCACCGCTGTTGAGTTTAAGGCCACGGCTAGAGGAATTGTCCGTGTTAACATTCCTAATCTTGAGGAGCTTATACTATGTTCCTGTTGTCGGATTGAAAATTTTGTGTTCAGTGCTCCGAAACTTAAAAGCCTCACTATCATTTATGCTCATTCCCGTATTGAATTGAAATGGTTTGAACTTCATCTTTTAGGGATCAGGACTCTTTGTTTGACGATAGACTCAGTTTTGGTAAGAACCTTGCCTTTCATTTGTGAATAATGTTGCGAAATCTATAGTTTCCACTGTTGTTATTGTCTTTGTTTTATTCAAGGTTAACATTTGTTTTTACCTTGTGAAGCTTAAACCTGCAAGAAATATCCAAGAGTGGTTCCCAACGGCAATGAATCTGCAAGTGATTAAGCTACATTATTTTGCTTTTCTCTGCCATAAGCACATTGTTCTTGTCATTCATTTGCATAAAAAATGTCCAAACCTACTGGAACTAGGAATTGAGATCGAATGATAGATACGCAGAAATTTGACGATAAAGGGAAGTATATTAGATGAAATTGATAGACTGAAAAAGAAAGATACAGTGAGACACTTCGAGCAGTCCCCTCTCCCAAGCCAAAGCCTATCCCAATTTCTGCCTACTCCTTCCCTTCCTTCCTTCCCACTCTTATAAGATTTCTATCCTTAAGAGCCGGCCCAAGCTCCTGAATTACATGGCCCAAACCCTCACTTGTACACTAACAAATTATTTGATATTATTCTATTACTATTATTAACTCTAATTAGCCCGGTTCCCTATCATATCTCCCCCCTTAGACAACCACCTTGTCCTCAAGGTGGGTGATAGGAAACAGCCCTAACCAACATCTTCTTCTTCATCCTTGCGCCTCTTCCTTCCCAGTATCTCCCTGACGACTGGACCATGTGCTTCAATGCTTGAACCTCCAAAATTAGAGATGTTTCTGCCGCATAAGTTATATCTGGTGAAGTTTCATTCTCTTCACTCGCTTTCAAGCCTTCAATAGCTACAAATGTTTCCTTGTGCTGTGATTTTCCGTCTGTAGCAGTTAACTGCTTTGATATTGCTGCAACCCGTATTTCCAGAAACAAATCATCATCCCCAGCAATGAGTGTGTCCATGTCTTTGAAGAGTTGAAGGAACTTGTGATTATGAAAACTCCAAGCTTTGGCACTCTTCAACCCTGTGTGGATCTGCTGTTCTGTTAACTGCAGAAGAGTAATGACACAGTCCGCCAACTCCTCCAGGTTATGCACAATTACTGTTGCACACCTTTTGCTGTCAAGAAATCCTTCATTCAAGGCTTTTACAATACCATAATTCTTTAGGCAGGAAATTTTTATCCTTTAACAGCCCCTGCAAGTCCAAACGCTGCTCCTCGGCGCTCCCCATACTGGTCACTCTTCATTAATTTATCTAGAAGCCTCGAAATAAGAATAGGCCCATCCTCCTGTTTTGATTGCATTAGAGGAGAAAGACAGGAGGAAACTGCTCGTTGAATAGCTTCAGAAGGAGTGTTCAGTACACCCAGCAACTTTTCAACAACAGCAAGAAACTTTGGATCATCCTTCGCCAAATGCTTTGCCAAGGCACACATGAATATCACAACACCTTCAAGCACCAAATCATATCTCTCTTCATCTGATGCCTTTTTGTTCAAGTGATTTTCAAAAATTGGGAATAGCAGGGAGACATTTTTATTTCCATGCTTGTCAATATTCATTATACCAGCATTAATCATTCTTCCCCAAACATCCATATTAGGATCAGCCAGTGCCCTTGATGTTATGAAGGTCATGACAACCGGAAGTTCTTTGGTTCTAAGCACATCAGAAAGGGAGTGTAAAGCCAGTGCAATCCCTTGGCTGCCTATCCAGCCAGCATCAATGATGTCCTCATCAAGTCCACCCTCACGAATATACAATGAAAATAATGTTGATAGCGACTCCTGAATTGTATCAGGGTTATCATCTAAAGTTGCAGCAATTGCTTCAGCAGCAGCAACTCTAACGTTAAAATTGATGTTCGAAAGCGATTTGAAGATTCCTGAATTATCGGTCCCTAATTTATATCCATAGTGATCCCATATGTTGTTAGGGATCTACATAGAATAATAAGAAATAAGAAGAGTATTAGAATAGTTAGTATAAATAGAGGGTGAGGGGAGAATAGAAAGGGGGTTTTTGGAATTGTTAATTGGATCTGGGACTTTGGAGAGTAGGCACTCTTTAACTGCCTTTGTAATTCTTTCTCTACATTTTCCGTTAAACGACGGCTTCCATTGTTACGCACATCTTCCTTCTTCATTAATTAAACCAGTCTGCACAATAGGATATCTATTTAAACTATTTGAAAAATCATGGGACTGCTCCAATATAAACTTTTTGGGTTGATCATCATCAACAAAATTCCCAACATGTTGCATCAGATCGCCATAAGATTCTGCATCTACTACCACTATAGTGGCAGATGGAATGATATGTATACCCTTCGAAACATATCCACTGAAAGGGTTGTTACGAGTGAGGGAATGGGTCATTGTTCCCGCTGTCTTTGCCGATATGTCTCCCCACATGAGATGACTTTCAGTTGCTTTAAATTGAGTATGTAAGTCAAGCTTGGAGTAATCTAACATGCTCTCAACCCAGGGTTGCAATTCTGCTTCTTGTATTTCAAGGTGTTGGGCATGGCTAGACCTATCAGCATCCTGAATCGTAACAACTGGGCTGGAAATTAAATCCATATCGTCTGCAAGATTCGGAGAAACATAATCTTGCCATTGGATAATTTGTCCTTTCTTCTCGATTTCGTCCTTCTTATTTATTTTCTTGATTACAGATTCGGTTGGCTCCAACCTAGTCTTATTTATTGACTGCGGGAAATCTTTAGCATGTTGAGCAACTTGGGAACTCAGCAATTCAAATAGTGAAAAATCTGGCGAAGACCTCGATGACTCTGGTTTTGTTGTCTTCCCTGTCTTCTGCCGGTGTCTAGGTGGAAAATCCCTAATCAAATCTTCCTTTAAAGCCTCCCAACTATCTTCTCTCTTGTGTAAGTCCCACCATTGAAACCAGCCATCTGCAGCTTCCCCCATTGCCTTTGCTGCAAGGTCCACTTTAAATCTTTCTGCAATAGCTTGGACTCGGAAATATCTTTCCATCCTCCCTATCCATGCGTACGCATCAACCTTGTGGAATAGAGGTAATTCTTCTGTCTTTGACCTAGCTCCGACTTCATCGCGAGTCTTCCACCCATCATCGCTAGTCTTTCGCGCTTCATCGCTTGTGAAATGAGGCTGTTTAGACTCATTTGGTCTGGGACTGGGAAGTTGGAGTTTATCTCCTTCTTTGGGACTGTGTACTCGGATTCTCCATTAATGAAACTTTCAGTTTTCTTAGTTACCATTCTTCTGTTTGTTAATGAACTTCTGTAATTGCTAGGGTTCTTAACATTGGTATCAGAGCACCGCTTCTGACACATGTCCATGGTTGCGACGCGTAGAATGATAGACATACAGCTCAGCAACCCACTCAGTATTTTAATAAAGTGTATAAAAGGAGGAGCCGGAAGATAGTTAGTTAATTAGCTAAGTAACTATTAAATGTTACTTTATCCCTGCGTGGATAATTTTACTATAAATAGAATAATAGAAGCTGTTGTCAGTAGGCTGTTATTTGGTTGTGAACTTGGCTTTTGGAGATTGGACATCTCGAATAGTCCCTGAACACTGTATCCCCGTAAACTGTTCAGTTGGAGAATAAACCATTCGATCTGATCTTCTACTTTGTTATTGAATTCTTACTTTTCTGCTTGAAATTATCTGTGATCTAACACTGGTATCAGAGCACTCGTTCCTGGTGATCGGAAGTGTTCCGCGATCCTCAGCAAATATTACGTACGGTGGTGGATGGTACGGACGAGAGCCAAAATGGAGTTTCGCGTAGAAACTGTGGAACGGAACATCGCTGAGATACAGGGAACACTGTTGGAGGTACAGGAAGGAGTACGATCAGTGGTTGCTGATCAACGTGTGGCATTGGATAATTTGGCGGCAAACATGGCGGCATCCATAGCCGCGTTGACTGAACAGCTGCGATCCAGAGAGAGATCGCGATCGCAAGTCCGAGTTCACACGCGACGATCTTACAGCCCTGCGACTTCAGGAGGTAATCCAGACCACTCTTACATTCAAAATCACAGAAGGACCGAGGATATTCATAGATTTCCAGTATACACAGGCAGAAAAATTGATTTACCGGTTTTTAATGGGGAAGGTGCGTACAACTGGATTGTGAGGATGGAGAGATACTTTCGATTGAATCATATTAATGAAGAAGAACAGGTGGAAGCTGCATTAGTTGCGATGGAAGGTAGGGCTGTGAACTGGTTCATTTGGTGGGAACATCAGACGGAAAGAAAAAATTGGGAGAATCTGAAGGCTTCTATGATTCAGAGGTTTCAGTCAGATTTGATTCAGAATCCTTATGGACCCATGCTTAGCTTGAAGCAAACTGGAACTGTTAAGGAGTTTAGAGATGAGTTTGAAATGGTGATAGCTCCTCAAATCAATGTGGATATGGAGATCCTTAAAGGAATTTTCCTTAATGGTTTGAAGGAGGAGATAAAAGCTGAACTTAAATTACATAACTCCACAGCCTTGAGTGAAATTATGGACAGAGCCCTACTAATTGAGAGTAGGAATGAAGCTATATATCAGAAGAGAAAGGAGGAAGACCGGGTACTTGGGAAAGAGAAGGGGACTGCAGCAGTGAAATCGCAAGTCTGGACTGAGGGTTACAAGTCCAAATTTAGCAGTACTGGACCTCATAGTACTGAGAAGAATGGGCCAGACAGTAAGACTAACCAGCCTTGGTTCAATTCAAGGGGGACCATAGTTACAAAGATTCATCCCTCAGGTATCAGAAGAGTGGGTCCTCAGTTGTCTCAGGATGAGTATCAGGAAAGGAGCAGAAAAGGCCTGTGTTTCAAGTGTGGAGAGAAGTGGAACAAAGAACACACTTGTAAACTAAAAAACTACAAATTAATACTGGTAGAAGACTCAGATAAAGAGGAGGAAGAAGAAGGAATTGGGGCTGAAATTTCAGAAGAAGAAGAGCAGGTTATGGAATCTAAATCTATGCAATTGTCTCTCATGAGTAAGGAAGGTATTCCTTCTATGAGAGCTTTTAAGGTTCAAGGATGTCTAAGATGGAGCAAGGGTGAAAAGGAAGTGGAAGTTTTGATTGATAGTGGGGCCACTCATAATTTCATATCACAAGATCTGGTAGAGCTCTTGAAACTGCCTCATACCATTGTTTCAGGATACAAAGTCCAAATTGGGAATGGGGAGAAGATTACCAACAATGGCAGATGTGAAGATCTGATTTTATCTATGCAAGGGACTGATGTAAAGCAGAAATTTTATATTCTGAATTTGGGAGGGACTGATTTAGTACTGGGAATGGAGTGGTTAACCAGCTTGGGAGATGTGGAGATAAATTTCCAGAAACAAAGCATTAAATGGAAAATAGAGGGGTTGGATCAAAGCATACAAGGAGACCCCCAACTAAATTCTATAGAGGTTTCCTTGAAAACAATGTCACAGATAATACAGGATACTGGGGATGGATTTATTGTATATCCTGAAGGGGGTTCAGTGCTAGTGGAAGGAGAAAAGGTGATGGATCAGATCTGGAAGGATATTGTTGCTGAGTTTCCAGAAGTTTCCAGACCCATACAGGGTTTACCTCCAAACCGAGCTTGCAACCATGCCATCAACATTAAAGAAGGAGCTGAGATCCCCAACATTAGACCCTACAGGTACCCACAGTATCAGAAGACAGAGATTGAAAAGATCATTAAAGAGATGCTGAGTTCT